AAGGATAATGAGCTAGTAGTTGTTATATATATGGGCGATATGTTTACGGTGATGTAATAACCCAAAATGGGTGACCCCATTACCTTGTCCATTTTGGGTAATTGTACCTTATTTTCTATATGGTAAAGTGCTTTAGGATATTATGGCTATGTTCTGGGCCACGGTGGTGCAATTACCCAAACTGGGCGAGGCCTTCCCTGACTAATATACCCATTACAGCCCTGTTCTCAACATTCAGGCCACTTTGGATATCCACACAATACTTCATTTCCGGACAGAGATCTGGCCGAGCTTCGATCCGAGACTGGTCCGGGAGGTGGCCTCTGGGCTTAGGGCCCCTAAAGCCTTAGGGGCGAAGGCTCTCGGCTTAGTGGTTTAGGGTTTAGGGCTTAGGGTCTAAGTCATGGGCTTTGCACAGAGTTTCGGCAACCACGTGTGCATTTTACATCCCAATGAGAGTGTCAAGGAGGGCCCGTGGTGTTGAGCCATGCAGATGTGGGGGTTTCAGAAAAGACTTAAGGGACCGCCTCATTGCAAAACGGATCCCTAAGTGTGAGACTTAATGCCTGACTCCGGTAACTTGTAGACGCACCACAACTCTTGGTGGCAAGGACGGTGTCTCAAGGCCTGCGCAGCACCCCTGAACCCTGAACTCTGCTAAAGCGCCCCAAGCCAACATCTTGCCACGGCCTCGATGATCATGTACATCGGGTCCTCAGATGCAACGGACCGAGGCCACATTATATGGAAGCTTGAATCATTACCCGGCTTCCTTATTGTCATAATAAATGTCACAGGCCTCTTGAACTTATGAAGGCCTTTCTATGAGCTGCAGACCGGGGCCATGATCACGCGAATTTACTTCTGAGTCCTGCGGCAGTCATGGCAACCTGGAACCTCCTGATTTCCTGGCCCAGCACTTTAAGAACCGCAGCAAACAGAGCCAAAGCATCGAGACCGAAATACGTCCTCGACTTCGGGAGGGTGGGGCGGAGCTTCTTGCAGCAAAATGGCGTACTGCGCCGCTTCCCCAAGCCCCGCCTCCGGCGAAACGGCCAGAGCCCCAAGATCGGGTTATCTGGTTAAGCGTGTACCATCCACCCATCCACCCATCCATCCACCCATCCATCCATTCATGCAGCTATGTTGTGATTGGCATCTTACAGACTATGTGTTCTGACTGAAAAGTCTCGCGCTCTACACGGTATAGTTCAAAAATGATATGTGGCATGCTATATATGGAACATGATAAATGACCCCAAGTCCGATCATTGGATGTGGGTGTTTTTTCCTTCCCCCCTTTTCGCATCTCCATGTAACAGAAATCACTTCGATGATCGCCCGGGCCCGCGGCCACTTCATCCAAAGCGTGGCTTCATAAGCACCCGGCTCTTGCTAGCTTTAGTTCCACTCGGCTATCGAATATTTCAAGCATCATGCAGCTTACCTGTAGAGTCTGTAGAGCTTGGTTCCTGTGCGGCCACAAGTGCAACATAGTGAAACACCAGCGATAAAATTGCCCAATTCACGCTTCTCACCGGCTGGCCATGGGGGCCAGCAGCAGAAATTTCAGCAATTGCTGGACTACCCATGGTCCCATTTCGCCATGCTGGACTCGTCAGCAAATGCCGTTGCATCGCGCAGCTCGTTGTATTTGCATCGTCCAGCTCTTCCACTGGCACAGGAGTGGAGTTCTTTGCCACCCTGTTTAGAATCAATCTAAACTGGGTGGCAAACAACACCGCTCCTATGCCAGTATCCCCAGAATGGGCATTTTGACAGGAGGCCGCAGAGCCAGATCAAACATTCTTTATTGATTGAGAACGCAACGTAACCCATGCCCGATCTTTCCGGCTTTGCACAGGGCCGTGGCTTTCTTCGAGGTCCACGCGAAAGTGCAATAAAGGAAGGGCCAAGGCGATGAGAGGAGCCTGGCAAGACAACCTCAAGCCTGCGCAGCACTGGGAGCTGCACAAATTTCATGTTGACCGGCCCGGCCACCATGACAAGCCCAGGGCGCACGGCAGAACTGCCTTCCGCCGCATCCTTCGAGCAGTTGCGGCTGGGTGGACTCCTCTTCACGTTGCTATGACGGTGGGAGCGTTGGTGCAAGCCTCGCCAGAGGATCGGCGAGCTGCAAGCAGAAGGAACCAACAGCCAGTCAGAAGCATCCCACGGCATGCACTGGAAAGGGGCTCGATGACTGAATGGTACCCTATCCAGGGGTCTCTGTGACAAGCATCCTGCCGTGTGGTGTCAATACTAAGGATCACAGATTACTGGAATCTCCCATATTTGTCCCAAAGCCATGAACTTACTCCTGCGAGCTCTGGATGTGCTTTCAAGATCTGGGGAGCTTCATCACGGCGTTGAAGATATGAACTCTCCTGAAGCTACGATAGGATCCTGTACGATGCAATGCATAAGGCTAAGCATTACCTATGGAAGTGTATGTAAGCTGTATGCGTGTGTGTATATATATATATGTGTGTGTATATGCAGATTAGAAATAATATACTCTCATCCAAACCATTGTCTTTACATATATACCTACCTAACTACCTAACTACCTACCTACCTACCCTACCCACCTACCTAGCAAAGCTTGCTGCCTGGCTACCTAGCTACCTAGCTACCTAGCTACCTGGCTACCTAGCTACCTACCTACAGACGATGGCGGCTCTAAAATACAAAAATACATATACTACATCGTACACTGGAAGTGTTGATTCGAGTCCTGAAAGGTCTGTATAGGCCTGCATCGCTTGCTGCACCATGGACATGTACTCGACACAGCGGTCGTAGTACTGCGGATCTTTGGTGATCGCGGCCTGATGTCGAGACAGCCGGTGGCATACGTAGCAGGATTTTAGGGTTTAGGGCCTAGGGTGTGTGAGTAAAAGCCTTGCTGTTGCCATTGATACTGGCTGAATTAAACTGTCCCGACTCCACAAAACTATCGAACCCGAGCCCAAGATCATGTAAGGAATTGAAGCTTTCAAGGCTAGGGCCATGAAGACTTCTAAAGAATCGAGGGGGACGCGCCATAGACATTGGTGCCTCGGTCATTGTCACGTCCCTGACCGCTTGCGGGTTAGGGCCAGTGCCGGAGTGAGGGCTCGCACGGTCAAATGGCCACGCATTTAAAACAGGTGGCAACCACCAACAGCTCCCGATTTGGCTCGGTCTTGGTGCACCGAAACTGCACAAACCGCAAGGACCTGATCCGCCGCTGCCTTGGCATCGTAGAGGGTAGCCAGGCCGGTGCAGATTTGGCCGACGGCAGGATTCCTGAAACAAGACAGAAACCTATCAGGAGGATTGTGGGCGTGCTTGGTCTGGGCCTTTTTGTCTGGGATTTCAGCACCCTAAACCCTAAACCCTAAACCGTGCCATAGTAGTGGGGCTGCATGGGGCTTGGGTGTTTGGGGCCTGGTGCCCTTTTGGGGTTTCCAGACCTTGGGGCTGCGACCTGCACAAGATGGGCGGCGGGCTAAGGACCCGCAGAGCAAAACGCAAAATGCAAGAGACCTAGAGCCCCAAAGCGGCTTTGTAGAACTTGGCAATACAGGTCTTTCCATAGTATCTGTACTACATGGCAGGGTACAAGCATTTGTGTAGGTGCCCTTTGCAGACGTCATGCATGAAGACATCCCAGCAGTTGGGCTGACAGGCTACGTGAAAGAGGCCTGCGCAAAGTCGGGTGACAACTGGCAGCAAGAGTGCTACAGCTCCAGGGCTTTGAGTCACAAGGCAGTGTACAAACAGGCCTTTCGTAGCAGAAGCACAGCAAATCAAGAGGCTTCCAGCTCGGGTCTTTGCACCGATGCAAACCCTAAACCTTCCGCTTGAAGCCCTAGCTTCGGCTTAGGGGTCCTTGGAGTCGGGGGTTCAGGGTATATTATAGTATATTATAGTATATTATAGTGTATTATAGTATATTATAGTATATTATAGTGTATTATAGTATATCATAGTAGATTATAGTATATTATGGTATATCATAGTGTCGACCTTGCACCGGACAAGGCCGAATCACTGCAAGACGGACCATCGGAAGCCATGCAGGGAGACTGGGTCTCTCGCTGAAAGCCTCCGTTGGCCATCATGTCTTGCAAGGTGGCCTCATAGGCCTGAGTCAACAGGCTGCAAAGGATATACAATTTCGGGAGTGCAGGGCCAGGGCGGCTGATGACGGGCGTGAGACTGAGCTAGCCATTTCCCGATAGCCAGAACGGCCCAACCGACGAAATCAACCTCATCTTTCCCTAAGATAAAGAAGCTGAAAACTCGTCTCGAGTCTGCAGAGTAGACATGCTGACGCCGGGATTCTTACAGGGAATCTTGGCTTTGGAAGAAACTTCTTTCAGCGAGAACCCTCCAATATATAGGTCGGAAAATTCATGGTATACAGTTTTTTACAGTCCCTCTACATCCCCCAAAACCGCTATTTCAGCTGTGCCGGCGCCTGGAGTATCTTAATCAGAACCCTCCAAAACTCGAAACCTTGTAAACCTGTAGAAGGATAGAACTTCCGTCCATGTGCGGTCCCCGCAGTGTATATACAGAGTGATGACACGGTTTGTGTAAAGCTTGACGGCTCAGAAGAGTCAGCTGGACAAGCATCGGCAGGCCTGAGCATAGCACATCACGATGGTGCATTCCAGATGTTAGATTGGTGCCACTCTGCATTTGTCCGGTTCTGGGTAAACGAAGCTACTTCCTTGCGGGGGTCTTTCATGCGCTGCCCCGTTGCTCTCTGCTGGAACTACATAGTAAAAACACTTACGAAACTCTAAACCGTACTGACTTAACGCCGAATCCGGGCCTGAATGGCTCGATCGTTGTCGAAGCCCTTGGCCAGCACGCATCCGTCGCCATAGTCCACAAAAGACGGTTGTACCTACAGTAGCTGTCTTCTTCAGGGATTAGGGAAGTTTAGGATTTATGGCTCGATTTAGAGTCAGAGCTGTGGCAAAGTATGTGGAAGTCCTAGTTACAGCTCGCTGCAAGAACTGGCAAGAACTAGGCTGCGGGCATTGCTCAGCGCTGGCTTGCGCAAGCTCTCGGGCACGTCGCTGGAGAAGATGCCTAACATCACAGCAGAAGCTGAACGTTCCTAGTCTCAACATGTCCCAACATTACCATCAACTCGAGCTCTCTAGTTCTTCCTCTCGTAGTAAATCTGTGGTAATAAACAAACAAGGACACTGATGTAGACCCCGGAAAAAGGAATCCCGATGCAACGTTGGTATCCCTATTCTCTAGTCCACTTGCTCCGCGCCACCGATCAGCAGGTCCTGGGACATGACTGAGCCGCACCTCAGGCTCTGTGCTGAGGCAGGGTATGGAGACGGAGCAGGGGAGGGGGAGGGAGTCTGAAAAAAGTGCTTACGAAATGAGTTCGAGAATGTCGTCACTGCATGCCAGATGTCCGAGCATCAGCAGACCATCCGAACAGACTGAGAACGGCGCGCTACCGCTGCTGGAGCATTGTCTTTCTACACACTTGCCACGCCCCCCCGCTTCAAGCTGGGCCGAGATGCAGTCGCAAGCCGGGTTTGCGATTGAGGATGCGATTGGTTGTCAGCTGAGTTGCATGGCTCCCAAGCAGGCATCAGGAGATTCTCAGGATGTCGCCTTCACGGCTTTCGGGTGGCAGGGCCTGGTGGTGTTTAAGGTCAGTTTGGCGTGCGGCGCGATCTTCGAAACTTGGGTTCTCCTCTCAGGTCCCCCTAAGCCTAGCGATGTCAAGCAAATCAAGCGCAAATCGCGCAAGGGGCTTAGGTTTTCTGGGGTAGATGATAGCATGGCTAGCATTAGATCCAGGAACCCTGAGTCTAAGTAAGGAGTCGGGCCCCTATATTAAGTGTCAGGACTGTTCCAGAGTCTGGCTGAATGAATCTTGAGCAAGTTCAACGGTCCCTGTGCCTGCTTCGCAGGGCTTGCCCACGGAACGCGGCGCAAGGAGAGATGTCCCTCCCCGCCACTTGGAACGGAACCCAGAAAACTGGAAAAGGATCTTCAAAAGAGTACCTGCCGAGGCCGGTGCTTTGAGCCCGGGGGGTCCAGAAGTGTTCATGGACAACGTCGTCGGAGATTTCGATTGAAAGATGGCCCCGGTGTACATCGCATCACTCATAAGTTTGACCTCACCGAGCTCAAGGGCAAGGAGGCAGCCGTGCAAGGTTGATGCTCGGAGCGAGTGGATCAACATTTAGGCAGACATGCTCGGCAACGCTCAAAGTCAGATGCAAATGCTGGCTCAGAGGAGAACAAGGAACCACTTGATGCTATACTATACCATACTGTACTGTACTGTAATGGACCAGTCTAGGCGAGGCGAGGCTCGCGATACTTTACCCTAATACACTTAACCGACTATACCATACCATACTATTCTGTTTTATGCTAACGGCATGGCTGGGTGGCCGCCAGCAAGCTACTTGACAGCGAAAACTAAGCTGAAAACCGAATCCAAATTTCTGCGCTCCTCGTCACCTTCAGGATTTAAACCCTTTTCACCAGAGCCGACAATTCTCACCCCGGCGGTTCATGCCTTCAGGGTGAATGAGTTCGAGGACTGTGCAATTTCTCTGGAACTTAACTATTCAGACTCAGAACCCCGGGTTTGGGGTGAGCTTGTTTTGAGCGCTCCCGGCACTATCGTCATGCCTGCCCGAAAGCGAAGCGTTCATGAGCTCTGAATGGAGCGATGCATTCAGCAGACGTGCGAACGCTTCCGGCGGGCCTTTACAAAAATGCACATACGGCGCCTTGTTGCAACCGCATTGATGCATGCTTGCATGCAAAGCCCTTCACATCCATCTTCACGATGGAGCAGGAGCACATCATCGAGTGAGACGACCACGACCATTCGACTACCTTGCTTGTCATGAGTTTACTAAACTCTGGGTGGCGTTCGGTTGGCTTTTGTGCTGCTTGGTTTGCTGTTTCACACTCGTCCTCGTCGCCTTTGTAGCAATGAGTGTCACAGACCGTGATGCACCCACGGCAAAGGTATACCAGACGCAATCCAAAAATATATTCATATGCATCCACGGGCTAAAACGACACCATCTCGTCTCCTTCTTCCTCCTCCGCCTCCTCCTCCTCCTCCTCTGCTGCTGCTGCTGCCGCCATAACAACCCCAAGCCGACAAGAACGTAACAAGCCTTGACGTCCCACGGATTTGAAACTACACAAGCCCGGAAGTCTTCAGAACCCCAGATAAGAGCAGTGCAGCGATATACAGCTCGCCGACACTGCAGCAACAATTCGAAGCCAAACTGCTGTGCTGCAACGTGCTCTCTGGACTTTGCGCTGTGACCGCGCGCGATGCTTTGATCATGTCTTTTTCGTTTTGCGTGCCTGCAGGTCACACTCTGGTACCGCCTCTTCCTTGTTGGAAGTGGTTTCGTGTCCCTGCAACATTTACAAAATTCCCGAAGAGACAACACGGAGAAAAACATCGAAGACAGCGGACGTCGGCCGGGTGTTATATGCTCTCAGAGTCTCCGTTGATATACGTGAGAAAACAATCAGAGCTTCGACAGAAACAAAGCTCAAAAGGCACACAGCAGTCGTACCAGAATTGTCTGAAGTTGCATGCGTTCGAAGTAGCAGTTGCAAGCAATATTAATAAATAGAAGCAGCTACGTGAGACGAACAAGCACGACCGAAAGCTAAATTGACAAACCACCGCCAAGAGAATTTGCAGTGGGAACTGTCAACAAAGCCAACAACCAACTGTTGCTTTGACATTCGTTCCCGGTTTTGCTCTTGCGAGATCTTGCGAGTATCTTTGTTATGTGCGTTTCATGTGCGATTCCTCAGAACTTCTCCCACAAAGCAGACTTTGGCCGCGGTCGTCACAAAACCTCGCTCTAACAACAGCGCAGGGCTGCCGAAAGAACAACGCTCCACTGGCTTGTCGGCCCTTGCATTTCTGCGGCCTGCCTTGGTGGGCGGCTGTATCGAATCTCCCATGATGCCAAGAATTCAGTTAGCGCCGGCAAAGCCGTGCAGGTAGCAAACCTAAACTATGGGGTTTCGGCCCTCGTTCGGACTTGGTAATGTGGTGGTGGGTGAGTTTCGGAGCTGCGTCTAGGTTCCGAGCGAAAAGGTAAGGCCATGCTCTCACACTGCCAACCGTGCTCAAAAAGTCAACCCTTTGAGAATGAACATGATACATGGGCCTAGGTGTTTGAAGAGGGTTTCCGGATATGTTACGCACAACAAGGAACATTGTCCGTGTCCGCTCCTACTATAGTACCAAAGCCTTTTCCGAGAGTCTCTGCCCTCTGCTGCACGGCTATGCAGGGCTTCTCAGGAGCTCCCTGAGATCGTCCTGTCTGACGTCCTCGCTAACCTTCCAAGGGTCTTGGATCAAGGGCTTCTTTTTTTTTGGTTGGTCTTCGTACAGCTTTTTGCATAAGGTCGGCTTTGAGGGGAGGGGGGGGGTGTTAAATTTTGAAGCCTTTGAGAAGTTTTGAGATTTCAGCTCGGGGCTTGAAGCTTTGTTAGGATTCAGGGTTCAGGGTCTTCAGGGTCGAGCTTCAAGGTGTTTCGAAGGGTTTCGTGCATCGCAAATGCAGGGCTTTGGGCTGCAGGCTGCGGCTTCCTTTTTGGGCGCCGAACTTCGAACCGACTTCGACCACAGCGGTGGCGTAGGCTGCGGGGACACCCTGGTTCAAAGCAACACTGTTGAAAACCCATGAAATGTAAATCAACTCCGATACTCCCCATACCAGCCTCTACAAGAACCACATGCCCAGTCCACTGCTCCCATGGAAGCCTTGCAGATTCCTTCTGAAACTTCTACAGACCCTTATCCTTATGATCTTTATGGACACTGCATAGCTGCATAGCTTCTCCAAGTGATAAGAGATGTTTCTGGGCCTTTCCGTGATGATTGGCTCACTAATGAAACCCCCAACCCTCATACTAGTCGTTGTAGCACCCCGATCAACTCCAACCCCAAACTGGAAACAAGTGCCGCAAAATCCCTGGATGTTTGGCACGAGCAACTGGCACCCCGCAGCCGCCGTTGCGGCTGCTCGAGAAACTCCGCCTGGGTGGAGCTTGAAATTTTGGGTGTTTACTGCTCAGGGAGTTGAAAGGAGCGGGTCCTTCTTTCTACTATGTCAAGTCAAGTTGAGGGCTCGGGGTTTCGGATTGGGATTCGGGTCCTCGATCGGGCATAAAGTCAAGGTACGGGACCTATGCTTCGTAGTCGGGGCGAACGAATTGAGGTCCTGAAGCTGTAACCCTTGGCTTCTACGCGCCGTAGACGCTTAGGACATTCGACAGAGAAGGATCCGAGAAGGAAAGGGATTACTGTAGTGACATTCCGGACAAGCGGGGATTACTGTGTGTCTCTGTGTGCGGGTGCACACCCACGGGTGTCTTGTTATCGCCCCGATTACACCTAACTGTCATGCGGCAGGTTCTGTCAGTTTCGCAGGGTCGCGCATGGAAGCCTCTGCAGCACAGGCGAAGTGCTACCCGGTGGTGGCACAAAACTCAGGTGCTCTGAGCTTAGTGCTTGAAATTGACCGAATGCAAGCCGAAATTCAAACCCTGAAGCCCTAAATAGCAGCTGTAGCAATATCCTCAATCTCCATGCTTCCTTCCCCACGAATCCCAACTCCGGCAGGGGCCCTGGCCCGCAGAGACAGGCGATGATCCTGTTTTTAAACTCGGCAGCTCAAAACCCAGGAGCTTCTTACTTCGGAACCTCATTTTAGGGTTTAGGGTTTAGGGTTCAGGGTTCAGGGTTTAGGGTTTAGGGTTTAGGGTTTAGGGTTTGCAGGTGCTTCTCAATTTTGCCGAAGAGCAGCCTGGCCTATAGGGCCTATAGGGCTCATGCTCGGCTCGGAGTCTGCACGAAGGAGCTGGTAGTGGGCAAGTAGTTCCTTTTTGGGGTTCATATATAGTAAAGTAGTTCCTTTTTGGGGTTCATATGTAGAAACCTATAAGGTAAACCCAAAAAGGAACTACTATGGGGCCTATGGGTAATAGACCTGTATTGCTTGGAGTAGCTGGCCAGCACCCAACCCGGAGAAGCGTCCCAAACACTAACAGCCACACGAAGTAGCAAGCTGGACTTAGGGACGACAGTTGGGGAGACGTGCTTACCTCCCCAACTCCCACAAGTACATGAATACATGTGTGTATACGTATGTCTGTGCACATATTAAACCCAAACCGCCCAAACCTGTATCAGAAACACTCACTGTTCCCATGATAACAACAGCAACACCAGAAGTAGCAGCAGCAGCCCCAACAGCAACAGCGACCACAATAGCAACTGCAGGTTCAATGTTCTAGCAGCCTTATCAATATAGGCTAGCCGAGGCCCACTATATTACATAGTAATAACAGTAGTAGCGTTCATGGTCATGGTCAAAGTAACCCCTCACAAAAATGACAGTGATAATCTTAACGGTACCCATCATTTGAATTGACGATAATTCGATAAAGACAAAGAACAACCGCAATAATAGTGGTAATAGCAATATCGTAATCACCAAAAATGTCCTACGGATAACAAAAAGAACACGACGAAAGCCACACAATCCCGAAGCCAACGCTCAGGTCTCCCCGGGCTCCTTCCACGTGTCACTCAGCGCCTCTGCGCCGATGCTGCCGTCGGAATCCGAACGGAGCATCATCCAGCCAGGAACGCCCTGAACGTGAGGCTCTGGGGTTCGAGGTACCTCTAACAAGGGCTTTGGATCGCGATTTTAACGCTCCACAAAAAGCTATGGACTTGAGAGTTGTCGTCGCCAATCCTTGTCCGACAAACCCACAATGCCTGCACAGAATCTCCAACCCCAAACATGGCTTAAGCATGGGAGAACCGCAGTGCCTCAGCAACGGACGTCACGTTCGAGAGTGGGAGGTGCAAGAACGGCTCTGAGGTACCTCCCAGGTATCTGATATCTGCGCGCAGATCTATTTATCCGCTTACTTGTTTTATTTGTTCATTGTTTCACTTGCTGCCTTCCCTACGTACTCTTGTACTTGTTCAAAGCAGAGATGTACATTGAGCCCGTCTCAAGACTCTCTCTACACCCTGTATCCCAAACTCGAAGATGGGAAAATGGTTGCCCCCTACAGTGCTAGAACCTCGATCTGCCTTGAAAGCCGGACCGCGTTCAGTGATGGTTAGCGTTTCCTGAAGCGCTACGCGATTTAGGAACTCAGGGTTTCTTAAGGTCCCAGACACTAGCTTAAGTATACAGCTCAAAGATCATGAGACTGGCATCCCGAAGCCCAAAACCCCACAGCCCGACGGCACCATCCGTGGACATCGACCGCACATCGCCGGCAGAGATGCAAAGGAAGAACTTCTCATCGGGCTCAAAGATGGGAGACCTGGGCTTCAGGGTTTAGGGTTTAGGGTTAATACAAACAGAAGGGGCGGCCCATCCGAGAGAGGAATCTTGAAGAGAAGCTGACCTTCCATCTGCGGAAGCTGCAACAAGATGCCGTCAAACTTGTTGCAACTCTCCGAGTTTTTGGGGGTTTGCCAGCTAGTTAGGGTCGTCTCTTTATCTCTCGGTGACATGCTTGTCTCGGCTTCGATTGCAGCCACCTGCGGGTTTCCAGACTTCCAAAAAACCCTCACGGTAAACCAAAACTCAAAGCTCAGCGGCTTCTCTGTGAGGCGGAATCGGTGGATGCCAGGGTCAGTGACCTTGTTTGGGGTTCGGGTTTGGGGTTTGGCTTTGGTGGTCAGCGAGACAAGAAAGCACCGGAATCCCGAGAGGCGAAGCCATGAACGCGGCAACGAATACCCAAAGCGATTCATGCGCGTTGATCTGGGTACAAGGTGCTCAAACGGCAGTGATGAGCGGGATCATGGGGTTGTCTTCAACCACCTCCCTGAGCCCAAAAACCCATCTACATTGTCTACATGTTCCCGTGTCTAAGGCTTAACAGCCTTGAGGAACTCAGGTTCCTGGAGCTTCAATCAACAACTTGATGCTGAGGTGAACCAATGGACTCCCCCAAGGTGGCATGTGACAGCAGGAGCTAGGGAAGCGCGACGGAAACGATTCGTGAAGTCCACGTCGGTCGGATGTTTGTGTGGGCCAGCCGTCCTGAATTGTGTATTTAAAGAACGGTTTCATCCAGCTTTCTTAAAACACAGCAATGTCACCTCAAAGAACAGTCCGTGATGGAAACTGCCCACTGGAAATTGCACTCGCTTCAATCCCAGCTGCACCGGGCGAAGAGGACGTAAGCACAGTCAGGGCCTGGACCAGGATCATTGCAATGGGGAGGGATTGCTGGGCCGGATAGGGGTTCTACATGTGGTATCGGCTACGCTTCCTAGACATACACGTAGATCTGCGACATTGAGTTGCCCATATCAAAAAACCGACCTGGGTGACCGGTGCACAGCCCACATGACGACGATGGCTGCAACTGTTTGGCCACTGACGCATTGGCGGCCAAGCGCTGTGGCAGCGGTGGTGCGAGCTGCACGCCAGAGCTTGACGACTTCATGTACACCCCAATGGGCTTGTCACGGTACCCAAACTCTGATGTAATAAATCGAATTCCATGGATGTTTCGGCAACCGGCATTGCCTCTGGTTTCAGCATAAGAGTTGATGACTTGTGCTGGTTGAATCACTAGAATACGTTGTCGGGCTAAAGTAGGAACCACGCCACTTCCAAGGGATGGCACACGGAGCAGACTGAAGAATCGGTGAGTAATCACGAACATGGGTACTGGAGGGAAGTTGCAGATCGGAGAGTATACAGCCCACACCGAGATGCTGCAGCTGTCTTCAAGGGGCGCACGAGGCCCTCACCAACAGAGCACCACGCTCTAAAATTGAAAAACTAAAGTGCAAAGTTCTCCAATGCGCGGCACAAGAGAACTATTGAAGACATGCTATAAATGCGCCCGGTGACATTGGGTGCTCGCGGTATGCAGCGAACATGTGCGAACCACGTCGATGCTCGTGTGCAGTGCTTGCTCATGGCATGCTCAATGACAACTATACCAATGCCAGCGGCTGAGCACCCACAGGTGCAGCGCAAACAGACTGAAAGGGCTCATCAACCCCCAATGCCAGGGGTGGCCTCGTAAGGCTTTGCAGCGTCGCGGATCGTAAGCCCCACAGACCTCACCGGCAGGTTCGGTCCATGCAGCCGCCGGCTGCTGTCGGGAGGTTGTGAGCCTAAGACCCGCAAATATGTCCCAAACATGCCATACATGCATACGACTCATGGGCTCGCACTACAGCTTCGATCCCCACTGTCACTGCCAAAACAGTCGCAACTACCACCACCGATGCCGACCCTGAGTGGTCGGCAACCACAAGCAGTTTAGGAGCGACTCCGGGGCCTTTCTTGGCCCTCGTTTGGTAAAGAAGCCGAGCCCTTGTGGTTATTCCCTCCCTAAACCCTAAACCCTAAACCCTAAACCCTAAACCCTAAACCCTAAACCCTAAAGATCCGAAGCCCTCGAGCTCGAAACCCTCAAGCCCCTTGATCCGGCCTGATGCCGATCTTGTCGCGCAGCGTGAAGAGAGAGGCCACCGTCAGGAGGCCACGGAAAGGGGCGCTCATGAGAATGCAGGCCTCCTGACCGAGGCTTCGGGGTTCGGCCAGGGGGGTTCTTCTCAGTAGCCTCTAAGCACAGGGAGCTTCATTTCTGTTTCGAAGGAAACCCCACAAGGAGAAAGGAAGAAGAAGATACTAAGATACTACTCCGCCGATGGCGCGGTCTGGGGCTCTTGGCTTCTTGCATGTCCTTCTTTGGCTTTGCATCTGAGGGCCGGGCTTTTGGTCTGAGTCCGTGAACAAGGGTTTAGGGGTTTAGCTCCTTTTTCCGCCCGCAGGTCTCAAGCTACCGGCGAAAGGGTTTAGGGTTTAGAGTATAGTATGTAGTCAGTGTAGTCTAGTAGCGTAGAGACGACAAGGGGAGAGGATTCGAGCATTCATCAAGCCCCTACATCAAGTCTCAATGATTCACCAAAACCACAACCATCCCCCACTCTATCCATCTAAGACTGAAGACCCAAAGCTGAGAGCCTGAAGCCTCAACCTCTGAAGCCTCACACTACACCCGGCGATCACCACCGCTCCTGGCCAGGATGTAATCTCGCGGTATGAGTGTCTATCACGTCGGACTGATAGGACCAGCCCAGATACCTTGCTCTTTTGGCGCTGCTTCGTTCGGGCCCTTACTTGCCCGATTGGAGGTGCCAGATTGAGTTCAGTGCTGACAGAGTCGTCGGCTTTGCTGAATCTTTCGAGCACGATACTTATTGCAATTCCATACTAGCTGCTCGGCAAGGCACTAAACAAGCACGGTCATGCTTGCTGTTCCTCAAGTTTGTGCACATTGTCTCCTGACTACACAAGTGCGACCAGCATTCAAAGCTCGGCTCAGCATTCTCTGCTCCTCGTGTCGATTCTTCGTGTAACTCTTTCACGGAAGCGAATGTGCTCTTTGGAGATGACCTCCTTCCATATTTAGAACTGGGTTCTGAAGCGCTCATTGCACTTCGGCACTCGTCTCGGTATGTGCTGCTTGAATTCAGCCGTCTTCACCCAATCAATGGTGCAGAAATACTGGCCTTCGCTACCGGATGATAGGTACTGCTCAGTTGCAGAAACAAGTGAGCTGAGCCGCTCGGAGCTTCGAGGGTAACAGATTCGGCCACGCTTCAAGGCTGCCAAGACGACAGTTAAGTTCTGAATCACTTGGAATATTGCGATAAAGCTTATAGGTGTGTCTCAGACCAGATGTGCATCACATCAGGCGCGCATCACCTCACAAGACTTAAAGCTGGGTACATACAGAGTGTGGTAAATTGCAGAGCTAGGGTAGAATCATCAAATATTGGGACTTTGGCACCTTCCATCTTCTATTGGCGGAATCGGGGGATGGTGCCCTTCGGAGCTTGCGAGCCCTCAAACATGCTCTCAGGGTGTGAGATTTTGGGGGTTTCGTAGGTTTGCCTCATGGAAGTTTCAGAACCCCTTTAAAGAGAGCCCCACATTTGTTGCAAGCCTTTCTTCATATTCTGCTCACTGGACCGACCAGAACATGATGAAACCCATCGTGAAACACTGAACGTGTCAGGACCGTATCTTCTCGGGCCATGAAACAACAACACCCAGATCCTAGAAGCCATTTTGAGGCATCGTAAGGTGCACCCACCCAACCCCCCCCATCTTCGAACGCGACAGAGCTACACAGAGCAAGACTCGGGTAAAAAGGCCCAAACTTCTCGCCTGTGAACCTGAAGGCCCTGAATTGCTACAGCTTCCTACTCCTACTACTACTACTACTACCACTACTACTACTACTACTACTACTACTACTACTACTACTGCTATAACTATAATTCCGTCATCCTAAACCCTAAACTGCCAACCCCAGCCCGAAGCCCACATCATCGGCTGTCGTAGATCAGCTTCGGGGCTGTCTTCTGAGATTGGACTCGGGCCACTGCGGACCTGAAAAGGCACTTCCAAGGCAGAGAGAGACAGGGAGGTCGCACCTCTGAGATGGAAAAAGCTTCCCAAACGTACGTGTGCGAAGTCATTTTGCTTGCAAGGCGTGCGTCGACATCGACTCCACCGCTTGAAATGAAAAAATGTGTGTGTGTGTGTGTGTGTCTCTCGGCTTCAGGATTTAGGTGCAGGGGCTCGGGCCTTGCTTGGCAATTTTAGGCTCGAAAGCACTCCTTTATTGGGGGAGGTGCTCTGATTGAAGGTTCCGTTTGAGATGTATCGGGCCATAAATCCGAAAACCTGCTTAAGCAAGGCGGACGAGCTTAAGGAACCCAAATAAATTACTACTCAGACCCCTACAGCACGGCCTTACATCCCCCCCCCAGCTGGGCCTTGTCTCCACGTGGCCCAAAACCTCAGCTGAGGCAAAAGCGGATAACGTAGCAAAGACACACCCAGCTAGAATCTCGGGCCATCAGCACTTGCCAAGTTGCGGCGCAAAGCGTGTCTGCGAGGATTTCTGCATGCCACGATCTGCCTGTGCAGATGGCTTGCTGTCGGGTCTAGGTTTTGCACTCCTCAGCTGAACAGATACGGAGGCTGTGACAATAAGATTGCATGTCTATAGAGACTACCACGGGGTCCTGAGCTCTCCCCACTAGTTTGCTCACCACTTTTCCAGACCGTCCAAGGACTTTTTGAAGCGCCGACGCGTCATAGCCCTCAAAGCCCCGAATGTTCTCAGGAAGCCGTAGAGTCAAACCCTCAATCGCTGGAGGAAGTCCGGACCCACCTCGAAACCGTCCGGATACTGCACCACCACAGGAACGCCCGCAGAACCTGAGACGGTTTCTACAATCTACCTGAAAAGTCCGAGTTGAGGTTCAAGCTTTAGGGTTGTAGGCTAGGGCGGCTAGGGTGCATCCCATAAGGCAAAGCCCCAAACCCTTCATGCTCAAGAGCCTGGAAGTTGAAGCTTGGACCATGGTCCCTCTCGATACACCAAGAAGCCCAGGCTTCAAGGATCCCCCACACACCTCCCAAACTTTCAGGAACCTAAACTCGCGGGCTGGACCGGTCTGCCCCGCAGGAGGAGTGTAGACCAGAATGGTGCCGAAAAGTGCCTGAGCGGGGCTTCGGGCTTCGGCTGGAGGTCCCGGCTTCCTATGTTTGAGAACTGTGGGGGCAGCGGGTACCGGTTCAGATTAGTTGCTTTCCGGCTACTGTTTAGTTTGAGGCTTGCAGTATTCAGGACCTCCGAGAGGACCAAGAGCAAGCCTGCTGCCAGCCTACATTCTGAGGGGCCTATCCTCGAAAACCCGGTCCGACACAAATCTCGGCCCGAATTTGCCATAGGTTGCTTCAGGCTCGAAGCCATGTCTTCAAGACTTACTGTCCCGCTTTCGGCCTTCTGTCTGTGTCTGTCTGTCTCTCTCTCTCTCTCTCGATCGCTTTCTCACTCCCTAGCCCAGAGCGAGCTGCCGACCCAGAACAACCCCCTGCGAATTCTCCCAGGCATGTCGGATGAATCCTACACCCTCGAAGCCGTCCTCCACGTCCTGGAACACCTCCTGCCGGAGCCGAATCAGGCTTCGGGATTGTCATTGCTGACTAATCAAAACTGATAGTAAGGAGTCGCAGAACGAAGCACGAGCAACACGAACTGTGATATGAAACAAACGACTGTTTTTTCGGGACATCCAAGACAAGTGCAACAAAAATGGTGAACATCACTTTTTTTAGAGGTCTGCACGGGCAGTGACAGTACACTTGTAGTCCGCCGATACTCTTTTTTAACCTAGTCTCGCTATTCAGGCCCCGATTTAAAGCCCTGTACAACATAAAGCCCCACGAGCGAATCCATGCACCGGTGAAAGTCCACAAACACGCTTCGAACACTCTATTCTGCCGACTCAGACCGCTCACAATACCCTGTTGCTCCCTGGGCCGAATTCCGCAGATCGGTTGCCTTGTTCCCTGCGTGGACGTTCAGATCCTGGCAGTGAGACTGAGGGTCGGGTTTAGGATTTAGGTCTGGCATGTTGCAAGTGAGGGCACGATAGGACAGCTTGGGATGCATTTATTAAGGCTGACCAGCGATGGAAACCGCATTCTCAAGCATTGATCTCTGGCAAAGACCCGCGAAGCTTAAAGCCC